TGGCTTCCACGCTGGTCGTATTTTATCGACCACAAATTCAGTCATCTCCAAGTTTTAGAGCAGAGGTACACGTACAGACTACCAACTGTGGTAATTTTCCTTGACTTGAAAGCCGCTTTAGACTCTGTTGGTCGCGCCAGCTTGTGGCACCGCCGGATAAATTCCTTTCCATTATCCAATCTATCTACCCTGACTTCCTAGGCCGTGTAAGAGTTTACGAAAAGCAGTCTCCTGAGTTCCGCACGGCAAGTGGGGTTCGCCCTGGTTATCCTAATCTCCCATCCTCTTAAGCTTTGTGATCGAAATGGTTATGAATTACTTGATTCTTTCAGATTATCGGAATAAAAGTTCTACCAGGTGACCAGCTGGCAAATCTTGAGTATGTACCGACATAACACTTCTTGGGTCTGACGCAGTGGCTATGCAAACACTACTGCATAGACTGAGGTGTAGAGCTTCATGTTTCGGTGTATACTTTGCACCTTCAAAGTGCTGTTGCAGGACTGGGTCGACACACCGATTCCAGCTCCCAACGAATAGCCACTGGAAGTGGTGGTTCGGTTCATTTATCTTAACAGCTGTCACTTCTGGTGGTTACATCACTTAGGAAGTTACTTCGCGTATCAGCAAGGCCCGTGTGTCTGTCCCGAGACTCAGCCATCTATCGAGACTGCGTGATGTCAGCCTGTCATTGAAAGCTGGAGTGTGTAGCGCTTCGGTAAGACCAGCCTTACTGTATGGATCAGAAACCTGATCAATTCGAGGCGAAGACATTAAACGCTTGGCCGTGTTTAACCATCGGTGCTTGCGGAGTAATACTTACGTCTAGTGGGAACACCGGGTGCGCGATACTGTGGTCCGCCAGTTGGTTTTTGGCATGAATCCTTCTGGTGTCTCACTCGAGTATTTGCTGATTCACAATGGCTTACGTTGGCTAGGCCATATCCTTCGAATGCCCGTTGACCTGCTTTTTCAGCATTCATTATACTCCGTCTCTCCTCCAAGTCGGGTGAAAGTTCAAAATGGTCATATGATGTCGTAGCATATAAATATGCGGAAAATGACCAAGACTTAGTCAGATTGGTACATTCCGTTCTCTGGGATGGACATCCTTCGGCTTTGGTGCAGTCACACAGGCAGTGGCCTTCCATCACTCTGTTTTCTGTACCCCAACCCTTACTTTTCACCCCATCCTGCTTACTTTAGTCATCATCATCATACACGTTAGCTAGAGGTGAGGAACACCTCAGCTACTGTGCCGCAATACATAGAAAAAAGGAGAAAATAAGCAACTGGTGCAAGCCGGCTGAGCTACCGGTAACTGATGGGCATCGTTCCAGTATGCTACCAGCCGGCTACTGTGCATCAAAAAATTACTATGAAAAATTATATAAGGCTAAATAATGAGATCGTGGTTGGAGGGGGAGGTTAACGGTGGGCCGCCAATATATGTGACGGTGCTCCAACAACTGACGCAAGGTGAAGATGTGGTCAATGCAGCCACAATCTCGACGAAATCCAGCTTGCTCTTCACGAATCTGGCTTTCACGAGTGCCAGTCAGTCTGTGAAGGATGACAGAGGCAAGCAATTTGGAGGCGATGGAGATCAGACTGATTCCTCTATGGCTGCCGCATTGCGCTCGTGAGCCTCCCTTGAAAATTGGGACTATGACGGAGCGGCTCCAATCGGTTGGGACAGTTTCCTGCTCCCACAGTTTGACTAGTAACTCGTGTAAATCAACCACAAGAGCAGGTCCCCTGAATTTGAAGAGGGCTGAAGGAAGGTAATCAGGTCCTGCGCCTTTATTTAACTTCAACAGTCCGATCTCACGTTCGACTTCTGAGCGAAAGAGTGGATCCAAAGGGACAGCCCAGGGAGCGGGGCGATCAGTGACCGGCGAAAAATCTAACCATTCCGATCGATTAAATTACCTTTTAAAGTTCTCGGCCGAACGCTCTATGCGTTTTGATAAGTTGTGGATAGGCTGTCCACTCTCGTCATGTATAGTTTCACTGACTCCAGGTCTCCTGCTGCTGACCGAATAACTTACGATGGTTACCAAGGGCAGCGGCTATTTCCATCTCTCTAGCACGATGAGACCACCAGGATTCGCGGTCTCTCCTCAGGCTAGCACGGAATTTCGCCCGGAGCTCTTTGCGAGTTTCATTGTGTTCGCTTCCAGCCGGAATATGCCGGCGAGCATCGCTAAGTTCCAGAGACTGTGAAGAGACCCAATGTCCAGGTTGGTGATTAGACATACCACATGAGGATTTTCCTGCTGCTAGTTAGGTCTGGTGAATATGAGACCAGTGACCTTCAATTGCATCTAGTGAGCGCTTATCCAACTCGCATGACGGCGTAGTTTGATAGGTATTCAGAACAGCTGGATTCAGCAGTTGGCTGTTGTCAATGCCCTCACAACGTCGTCGTGGGCGTCCGCCAAAGCGCATCCGCAGGTCAGCACTTAGAAGTCCATGGTCGGTGTCCACACCTGTGCTCCAAATCGAGCGACAGTTCTGGACGCAGCCTCTCCATCGGTAACTTATCGCAATGTGATCGATTTGCGTCCATAGCTGCTTCGAGCCTGCTGGCGCCATGTCATCCTCCAGCTGGTGCTGTGTCGGATATTAGTGCTCGCAAGAAATAAGCGAGCATCTTCACACAAATGAAGTAACCGCTCACCATTATCATTGCGAGAGCCTACACCGTGCTGACCGCCCAGATGCATTTCATTAGTGGACAACTTTCCATCTTGTGCGTTCAGATCCCCAGCCAGCACTACAGTGTCCGAGCTTCTTCTGTGACGAAGGAGCTTGTTCAGTTGGCAAAAGAAATCGTCTTTTACCGAGTCATCGCTACAGTTTGTCGGTGCATAGGCAGCGATGACGAGTAGACACCTGTTGGTCCCACGCGACTTCGAAGTTTTGAACGAGCCAGCCAATCGGACCGCACACATCCGGCTACTGATTGGAATCCAATCAACCAGAGTAGCTTCAGCCCGGGGACTCAGGGCAATACCAATGCCAGCTTGGCCGGTGCTCGAAGCTACATCGTCACCGGATGGGCGCAATGAGAAAGTGCTGCTTGTGTCACCTGAAGGGGATTGCAGAGTGAGTACAGAGCTCGAGGCTTGCAGGCGCGTCTCCGATAAGCAGCGGATATCGATCGAGAGGGTCTCTAATGTTCGGGCAAGTGCTGCCTGTTGACCGATCTGAAGCAATGTGCGAACATTGAGGCATGTCAATCTGAAGAAGGATCGAGGGCTCCAAATGGAAGCCGATGAACTGGAATGGGTCGCTTTCTTGGACATGGGCCTGTTGACAGGGCAGGAATGACGCTCCGCGGTCACACGTGAGTTGAAACTAAAAGACAAGCGGCTATTGAAGCAAGGTGGGGGAGGTCCGAGAATTGGGCGGTTGAAAACAAGGGGGATAAAAGTGAAGCTGAAACGAGACTCTGTCGGGTGAAAAATCGCAAGAGGGGGAATAAGAAAACGGGAAGGCTTGAGCAGTAGCATCCAAATCCCTATCCACCCTGCCCGATGCATCAGATAGGGCACCGTTGATTCTCCTCTGCGGTGGCCAGAGCATCAGAAATTTGTTTGAAGTGAGATTCATTGTACCACGTGTACCATGTTGATCCCCTTTTCTCTGAATTATCCTTGCATTCGAACTCATTTTGTCGTTATCTATTGCCATCCTGGCGATGTGAGTCCTAGCATCTGGATCCACCGCACTTCGGTACCTATTTGTTCAACTGAACTGCGCTGAACTGCTTGCGACCGCATGTTATTAAGAAAGTGTATGCAGTTGGGCTAAAGCAATTTACACTTAAACTAGGTCTTTTTATGCTGGATAAATTTCATTTCACTTTGTTCGTTTTGTTCAGCCTACCTGCATAATCTTCTATTAACTGGCCACGTTGCTTACGCTAATTGCGCTTATCTTCGATAACTTAGTTGCGTTTGTAGCCTTTTTAAGTAACTTGTGGACATTTTCTACTTATCGCGCATTCGTTGCTAACCAACTTACTTCATATGCTAATTTAGCGAAGAGTTATGTCATCTTATCTCTATGCATTATTGGATTTATTTTATTTCATCTTGTCATGTCAAGTGATTGGCTGTTGCTTGATATCCCCGGTGTAGCTGCGCTTGATGGACGTGTTGACAAGGTGTCTACCTTTCTATTGTCCACTACCTCGTCCATACTGGCTTCAGAAGACAGTTGGTCATTGTTGGAGGGGACAGAGTGCACGGTCCTTGTGGCGGTGCTAGGCTCGAAGAGCGGTTCCATGTACTCAGTGTGGAGTGGACTACGGTCCAGCCACCGCCTTGTGTGCGCTTGATTCCCCAACTACAGCGTGCTTATGTTTGCCTGTGAAGGAGTGTGGGTCGGCTCCATTGAGGAAACGTGGGTGGTGCAGCGCAAGCCACCCATGGTCGCTCTGTAGGCACAGGCGTCCTTTGGCTGGCCACAGTGACAGGCAAATCGGAAACCGGATGCCGCCGACTATGTATGCGTTTTGGCGCCACATGCTTGCTTAGGGTGTTTGCGTTTCGCGCTAGGTCCCCCTTCTCTTCCCCTTGTTATTCTTCATTCTTTAGGTCGTCGTAGTTGTACAGCAGCAATGCATCTGTTCCTGTGACTGTTGACCTGCTGTTGACGATGATGTTGATGGGAATAAATGCGACTAAACCCACCATACTATGGTGCTGCTTGTTGCCGTGCCAGATACATGGACAGCTAGTCAGTCCAAGTATGCAAGAGATACACTCAATAGTCACAAAGCTTCTAAGCTTACGGTGATCCCCTTGCAATTAACTTCTATTTACTTTCGCATGTTTCGTTATACTTACCGCCTTATTTGTTAGAGTTAGTTCTGCTTTACTCTCGCCAGAGCCGCTATCTCATTCATACCTTTTCCCATCGTACTCCCATTGCCTTGTCAACGACACAATTTCCTGTGTTGTCCCAACCGACTTACACTTTGTTCCTCAGCTACTGTATCTGTTTTTCAGTCCGGGTAACTGCTATACCCCAATTTTGATTTGCTTGTGAAGGCTCATAGCTAAACGACTATGGGGAAGTTGGCGAGATTAGTCATCTGCGGGCCAAGTGGAGCCGGGAAGACGTCACTAATAGAACACTGCATTCATGGGAATTTTTTTTCTAAATCCGCAGAAGATTTTGTAAGTTGACTTTTATTTGAATGTTGTTCCTTCGTTCTTGGACCATTCATAATATAAATGCTGTCAACATAATGAAATATGCTTGGAAATGATTAAGAATTATGAATTTCAGAAGAGCTTGAATACTTCCAACCATACCAACTGGTTGTTTTCAGTTATATAATTCTCTAAACACCTGATAATTCCTGTTCGGTTCTGCAGAACAGTTGGATAAGACTGCCCTGCCATCACGAACATCTGATGGGCGCTCGAAATTAGTCCTATATTTGATGAATTTCACGTGCTCAGGCACAAATTGCAGCAGCCTTAGCCCATTCACGCATATCATTTTTCAACTGCTTCTACTGCATTTATACGACCACTGCAGTGTTCCACATGAATGCACTCTTCAGAGACCTACTTTATTCTCATTGTTAACTATGGCCCGTAGCCGATAGACAGAACAGAACGCGTAGGCTTAGTAAGGAACCGTTTAATGCAAGCTTACTACCTTACAGGGACTAGCAATGCCAAACCGAAAAGCCAATAAAATAAGGAGGGTAAGGCGAGGTCATTGTCAACCAATTATGTGAGCGCCTGTGTTTACGATCGATTCTCAACTACATACGTGACCCCCCTCTCTTCTCTGGTATAGCCTGCTGACTCCGGATTTTTACCGATCGACTGGCTTAGGCTTACGTTTTGAGCCTCTTACTTGAGGATGTTCTGCATTCGTTTGCGGTTCCTGGTTCTGTGAGGCAGATTCCCCGTCCGCTTTTGCGTTAGTTGCAGTCGATTTTTGATCCCGCTCATGCGATTCGCTTGAGCGTGACCGGATCTAGTCAAGATGACGGTGCATCACACCGCCGTTCTCCAGCTGTAGCTCCGCTTGGTTACTCGTTGACGACAAGTGTAACAGATTGCCAACTTGCTTCGTGAGATAGAATTGTGTATACCGGATCAAAATCATTGAGACCCATTTCATCTGGCATCTTCTCATCCCCACACATCTCCTGCTTTGCCTCCATTCTTCTTCGAGGGTTCGGAAAAAGTAGGTGCATTAACTCCGTGGGTGATTTCCTGGTCGACTGAGTCGGTGTCGTGCGGTAAGAAAACAGGAGACGATCCAACTTGGTTTGTAGAGTTTCATGTGTATGCTTGAGGAGATCTTGCTTACCAGTCTAGACTGCACGTTCTGCCGTTCCATTCGACACGGAGTAGTGTGCCGCAGATTAGATGTGCTGTATTCCCTTGTTACTCAGAAACTGTTGAAACTCCTCACTGCTATATGGTGTCCCGTTGTCGATGCTTACCGTCTCTGGAATACCGAAAATAACGAATATTGAGCGCATTTTTGCTACTGTTGCTGCGATATTCGCATGTGGACCTGGATGTATTTCTATCCATTTAGAGTGGGCATCAATCAAAAGTAGACATCTCATTGGTCGAGCCAAAGTAGTCCGCGTGTACCCCCTACCAGGGCCTCTCCTTCCAACGCCATGAGTGTATCAGATGTATCGCAGTTTATCAGCATCCGCTGTATATCCTGATCCATATTCGGCCACCAACAGTAACCACATGCCGGCGCCTTCATTCTGTTCACGCCAAGATTTGTCATGCAGCTCTGTCCGCGACTGGGGTTGTAGTTCTTGCGAGCCCCGAAGTATACATCCGTCGTATAAACTCAGCTCATTACTCCGACAGGCGTATGGTTTCAGTTCTTCTGACGTACTTGTTAACCAGCCGGTCATCAAGAACCGTTTCACTATCGTTAACACAGCGTCCCACTCGGTCAGGTGGTTCACCGCGTCACTCCAGACGGTGTCTTTCCAAGATATTGCGTCAGATTGATAAACTCCATGGGTTCAATGTTCGTTTTTGTGTCATGTTGCTGCTGGCGGCGGCTAAGTGCATCGGCAATTGTGTTACTTGGTCCGCTTACACACTGAAGTTTGTAGTTATAGGCGCTCAAAAGTAGTGCCCACCTTCACATTCGAAGTGAAGTGAAAAAAATAAAAATATAAAACGTCAGTTGCACGCCCTGACGGCGCTTCACTGCCACGCGATCACCACCAGTTGCGCGTGGGCTGAGTATATCACGAGGACGCCCGCCCCTACGCGGATTCGAACCGGTGACCTTATGGTTGCAAACCAGACGCGCATACCACTCGGCCACAGGCCGAAGTGAAGACATCTGTCGGAATCCTTTCTCCTTATCCAGAAGCGAAAGAACTGGTTTATGGTTAGTATGAATATCGAGCAGTCTTCCCCAGACGTACTAGTAGAAATGCTTAATTCCGAAAATAATCGCTAAGGCCTCACTGTTCAGTTGGGAGTAATTCCTTCCAGCGGATTGCAGGGTGCGAAAAGCAAAATCCATTAGAAGAAGAGAACCGTCATCCGTCCGGGGGCAAAGAACTGCGCTTACTCCGCATGTGGAAGCATCACACTGCAGCACTAGGGACTGACTCGGATTGAAACGCACGAGATACGAGGAGACGCTGAGCTCTCTTTTTGCATCTCTGAAGGCGTTTCTTTGACTTGAACCCTAGGTTCAGGACTGCGCCTTGTGCAACACTTCGTGCAATGGTGCAACTACTGTTGTGGGGTTAGATAAGATGCGACGATAATGAGAAAACACCTCTGAAAATGATCGGAGTTCAGCTTCATTTTTGGGCTCAGGTGGGACAAGGATAGGCTTGACTTCTAACACGTGTACTCCGTTTTCATCGAGGGGATAAGCCAGTTAACGAACGGAATATGGGAAAAAACCTTACCCTTGGGCTTCTTCAGTTTGCATCCGCTCAGTTGTAGACATTCGAGCACAGTAAATACCATTTGTAGATGTTCAGTATCTGCACGTCCTGTAACTGGAATGTCGTCAAGATATGCGCAGGTGAAAGGAATATCTTTGATCAGATGGTAAATGATCCTTTGGAATATTGCCGGGACTGAACTGATTCCAAAGAGTAGACCTTTGTACTGGAATAGACCTATTTGGGTACTTATCGTAGTGCATGAGCAAGATATCTCGTCTAACTCAATTTGTAAGTACGCATGACTAAGGTCGATCTGTGTGAACTTTTGTGCGCCTGCCAATGTAGCATATAGACCTCTATCCGGGGTATGGGATACTTATCCAGAATTAAACAACAGTTAGTTTGCAAGCAATAAAATACGTACAATACCAGCCGGCGTCAGGACTGGAACTGTCGGAGCACCCCACTCACTGTATTAGACTGACTCGATTGTTCTTGCTGATTTGAATCACTTTATCTCGTCTTCCACCTTTGATCTCAAGGAATAAGACAGAATACGTGCCCTGAACAAGCGGAGCTGAGTTCCTTGCCGTAATTAGATACTAGTCTGATATCCGTTTAATTTTCCAAGTTTAGCATCTTTAACGTCAGAATCTTTGTGGGGCGAATTCTGCAAACGTTAGTTAATGAACATGAACTTCACTGTCTCTAGCGTTACCAGAAGGCATTTATTTCACTTTTGCCAGAGTAATTTTGGACAATCCTTCGCCACAACATATGCCTGTAAGGTCCGCTTCTTCTCATGATACTTAACATGAGCAGTGCATTTTCCCAGGGTTGGTATCGGCTACCCGGTGTACGTCAGCAAAATTGTTTCACAGGGGGATAACTTGGGCAGTCTTTTAACTGAGGCAGCACTGATTATGGTAACTGAGGCGTCGGTATCAACTTCCATTTTAACCAACTGGCCTTCTATTTCCAGTTGCACAGTGTAGGCTGGATGAATGCTGCAGATGCTCGATGTTGCGTTCCAACTCGTGTACGGCTGGTCACCTTCGTCTGAAAACGACGCTTTTCGCGGGCTTCTTAGGAAAACCTGATGTCGCGGCTGTGCAAGCTTTAGATCGGCAAACTCGGGTCAAGTGCCCTAATTTGCAACGTTGGCCGTAGATACTCTGTTTATGCTGACATTCCTTGGCTGATAACTGCTGACTTCCACATCGGTAACAGGCAAAAGGCAATTCGGATCCTCGGTGTAACTTTTTTTTCCCTCGATTGCTTGATTTTTGTCTGTGTGAGGTTGATGGGAAAAAGCTGCTAACTGTTTATGGACATTCTCCAGCTGCCGAACAATATTGCAGGCCTCCCAGCTCATCGTCGTCTCATCTTCCGACAACAATTTTCACGAGCCTGTTCGTTTCGCATACCGGATATCAAGAATTGTAAAGCCATCACCTCTTCGAACTGGGATTTCACTATACCGACTCTGGTAGGGCTTGCTGAATCCTCGCAATGAAATCAATGATACTTCAGGGTTTCGACGCAAGGTCAAGAAAGAATATCGCGCAGTGTATGTGTTCAGTTGTCAACCCCATAACGCGCTCTGGACTTCTAGCACGCTGTTGACTATCGCGTTCTCACCGACATGGTGGGTAGCAAAATGTCCTTGGCCCTCATCCTCCAGAAATTGTCTCAATAATTTAATTTTGTGTCTCTCTGAGAGTATCGTATTTGGCTGCAAGACGGGTGATACCTCCAAGTAATCCGAAAGTGCGCATCCAGTGGTTCCAGATAGCCGGTGTTGGTTTCTCTGAAGTGTCCATCATACTTCGCAGGCTATCCCCAACACGCGAATCGTTGCAGCGAGAAGAACAAGCTGGGTTTCGCCCTGGTCGCGGCTGCATCGATCAAATCTTCACACTTCGCCAGATCCTCGAGCTCCGCCATGTGTATCAGAGGCCAACGATTGCTGTGTTCCTGGATATCCGTGCTGCCTTCGATTCTGTCGATCGTACAGTACTGTGGCAGTGCCTTCTGAGGAACGGTGTCCCCGAGAAGTTCGTCTCCATACTGCGCGCTCTGTACAGTCTGACCTCGGGCAGGGTTAGGGCTTATGGCATGCTTTCGCCTACCTTTGTGGTCTCCAGTGGAGTTCGACAAGGATGCCCTATCTCTCCGTTCCTATTCAACTTTGCCATTGAGGATGTCCTGAAGAACGCTCTGAGCGATTCGTTGAACGCTGGCGTTGAGCTCCTCCCAGGT